TGTTAGATTGATTTAGGCATTTATTGTGTACATGTTAACAATACAAATAGGTCACTTTAAAATACAATATTGAAATATTGAGATTTTTGTAATTCTAGATGCTTTATAAATGTTACAACATTGTTTGCACTTCGAAACATATTATCATATAGCTTCCAAATTTCATAGATTAGTTTTTTTGGCAATTCAATTTCTAAATAAAATATTGAGATAAATATGATTAAATATTTCATCCTTGTGAGGTCAAAACTGAATTACTGAACGAATAGTATTCAATTAGTTTCCATTATTTTTTAGCTCACCTGAGCATATGCTCAGGGTGAGCTATTAGGATCACTCTTCGTCCGTCGTCTGTCGTCCGTCGTACGTCTTCCGTTGTCCGTTCACACTTTTCAAACGACATCTCCTCTGAAACCATAAGGCAGATCATAATGAAACTTCACAGGGTGTTCCTTGTGTGAAGCCTTAACAAAGTTGTTCAAAGAATTCCATTCCATGCAGAACTCTGGTTGCCATGGCAACCAAAAGAAAAAAAAACATCTCCTTCTAGATAACCCAAAGAGCTAGAGCTTAGATATTTGGCATTGAAAACATCTTCTAGTGAGTGTCTACCAAGATTGTTCAAATAAAAGCCCTGGGGTCAAAATTGGCCCCGCCCCAGGGGGTCATTGATTTTTCCCTATAGGCATATAGTAAAAACTTAAAAAATCTTCTTTAAAGAACCCAAAGAGCTAGACCTAAGATATTAAGCATGAAACATCTTCTAATAAGTGTCTACCCAGATTGTTTCAAATAAAAAGCCCTGCGGGGTCAAAATTGGCCCCGCCCCAGGGGGTCATTGATTTTCCTTATATGCATATAGTAAAAACTTAAAAAAAATCTTCTTCTACAAAACCCAAAGAGCTAGAGCTTAAGAGATATTTGGCATTAAACATGTTTCTAATGGATGTCTACCAAGTTTGTTCAAATAAAAAAGCCCTGGGGTCAAAATTGGCCCCGCCCCAGGGGGTCATTGATTTTCCCTATATGCATATAGTAAAAACTTTAAAAAAATATTCTATTAAAGAACCCAAAGAGCTAGACCTAAGATATTAAGCATGAAACATCTTCTAATAAGTGTCTACCAATATTGTTCAAATAAAAGCCCTGGGGTCAAAATTGGCCCCGCCCCAGGGGGTCATTGATTTTCCCTATATGCATATAGTAAAAACTTTAAAAAATCTTCTTCTACAAAACCCAAAGAGCTAGAGCTTAGATATTTGGCATTAAACATGTTCTAATGGATGTCTACCAAGTTTGTTCAAATAAAAGCCCTGGGGTCAAAATTGGCCCCGCCCCAGGGGGTCATTGATTTTCCCTACATGCATATAGTTAAAATTGGCCCTGCAAGGGGGAGGAGGGGGGGGGGGTCAAAAGTCATTGTTATTCATAATTTGTGTATAGTAAAATCTGAACATCATGAAATATCTTTTAATGGGTGTCTTCCAAGTTTGTTCAAATAAAAGCTCTTTGGTTTAAACTGTCCCGGCCCTGAGGGCCTTTGTTCAGGTGAGCGACCCCAGGGCCATCATGGCCCTCTTGTTACGAATTTGTTGAGACTATTGCATGATTTTTATCTTACAGACATTCTTGTTTTTGAGAGCCTGCCCGGCAAGCTTTTGATTAAAAGTAACAGGAAAGAACAAATAATGACAAGCCAAATCAACGTCTTCATTTAAGGAATCTGCAATTTTAAATATTTCATATATCAATTTAAATTTGACGAAGCAAATTGAAACTTCTTTTTCGTATTTTAAGTAAAATAGTTATTATCGACATTTTCAACCTATTTTTGTCTTAAAAAAAACAGTAAAAAAACGTCAAAATAATCAACGAAATAATCACAGTTTAATCCTTAATAAACTATCCATATTTTTTCCTAGATGAAAACAGTTTTATTATAGGAAACAATTATAAAATATGTAGAATGCGCACTCAGTCTGGATAAATAGAAAACAGTGCAGATCATGATCAGACGGCAAGAATGTGGCAGCTGATCCTGATATGAACTAATTATATGGATACTATTTGTTTGTGACATTAGTGTTAATGTTTGTCAATTACAGACAATATCTGGTAATTCACGCTTTAAGATAAGTTCAGACTGTATGTTAAAAATGGGTAAATATGACTGTTAATTTTATAATTTATTTTATAAGCTATGGCAAAAGTATCACACACTTTGCTAGACCCTTAATATTATCGTTATATTTCCATTAAATGAAAATTTAACCAAATAAATTCATTTTACTTACTTAACTGGTAAATATCACTCCATAGCAATTTCCTTTCCGTTATGAATTTAACGTACAGAGGAGAGCACGCTGTTGATAGAATGGCGTGCCTTCATGGAAAGGGCAATTAATATTTTTACAATTGTTTTTCATGCGCGTACAAAGTAATTACCGATAAAAATTAAACAACGGATAAAATAGGTAACAACCATTTGCTTGCAGTTATTGTTTGGCCTCTTTAGATGCATCATTCATATATACATTAATATACATAGTATGTAAAATATCACATTAAAAGTTACACAAAATATACTAATGTACTAGACGGCATATATAAATCAAAACGAAAGTGTTACATTATGAAAATAAGCTTAGCTATCAGTTACTTAAATGCTAATATAATCGTTTTACAAAATACTGCAAGTTTTAACAATCTACTCCTAACTGTGCTATTCATTAACATAGAAAACATGATTGAATTGACATTTGTACTGTATTCTCTAGATATATATTTTATTCTATCAGTATTAAAGAATTGACAGTTAAATAAGTAATGATATTCATCTCCAAGTGAGCTAGTATTGCACAAGTTACACAACCTTAATTCTCTTGGTATTTACAACATCTACCAGACTCAGCAGGCAATTTTTGATTCATACATCTAAAGCGCAATAGTACTGTAGATACATGTACATGAGATCGTAAAATATCTAAAAACCTTTCAAATCTGAATGCACTTTGTACATTCTATAATTCAGATATTTACTAGATTCTGAAATTTCACTATGCCAATTTTGAATGAACTGATCTTTTAGTCTTTTTTTAACACTTTTCTTAAACGAAGGAAGAGAACTGGCAACATTATTATCCAATAATTTGATGAACCCAGTGAATCTAGTAATTTACAAACACTATTTATCCATAGGAGTTTCATCACATTTCAACAATACAAAGTGTGTGACATAACTTACAAGATACGGCATATTGACTCTTGTTTGCTACTTAAAATCTTATTCTAAAAGCACTAAACTCTACTATTTATGTGAATAGATATATGAAATATTCCTAAATCTCCATAAATCATACAATATGGAGTAATTTGTTTCAGATTTAATGTGAGCTTATAAAGTTTTAATTGAAATCTATCTATAATCAATTTTCAATTTCCAACACTTCGCTACCATATCACAATATGGGAGCTACCACGCTATCAAATTAGTGAATTTGCATACTGATAGATATATCTAACTTTCTAGCCTTTAGTGTAATTGAAAACATAGCCTTTCTTGCCTGTTCAAATAAATGATTCTTTGTTTTATCAAATTTACCATTATAAGATAATTAAACACCTAGATATGGAAAATCATCACAATCTCGAACAAATTACCGTCAAAACTAAAAGCGCATCTTGCACCACATGCAGTTCTTCAGCAGATTCGGCAATATAACTGTGTTGTCAGCATATAAATAATATACAACTTAAAATACATCAGAATCACTCAGGGTATCATTTACAATGTTAGATAGTAGATCCAGACCATTAAAATGTTGTGACAGAAAATATTTAAAGAGAAGTAGTGATCTGCACAACTAGACTTGGTACTGATCATTCCTGTAAAGTTTGAGTATTTTCTGAGGAGTAGTCCAGATAAGTTTTTTTGACAGACTACAGAAAAATGATCCCTCTTAGTAATGGCTTCTTTGTTACATGTATCACCTTCTCTGTAGCTGGCAACACAGTTTCATTAACAAGAGAGAACACCTTTTTATTCAAGGGCAATAACTCAGTCAAAACTCTTCCAAGCAGAAAAATGCGCAAGTACTTGAGCAACCGATCATTCCTGTAAAGTTTCATTAAAATTGTATAAGTGGAATAAGAGGAGTAGTCTAGACAAACTTTAAAAATCAAAATCATAAAAGGGCCAAAAATAATTTAACTATACAATGCCGACGATATGCACAACTCGACTCACTAGTACTTATCATTCCTTAGATGGACTTGCACCAGGAATTTTTGAGGAGTAGTCCGGTTACGTTTTGTGACGGAAGGACAGACGAACAAACGACAGAAAAGTGATCCCTGTATGTCGCCGTTACTCTGAAGCAGGCAACACAAAAATAGATACTTATATATCTTGAAGAAATTACAAAAATACAGACTGAAATAGAACAAAACGCTCTCACGACGAGCAAATAATGATCATTTCTTTGATTAATTACTATATGGCCTCCTAAAAGTTTCTCGCCTGACTTGTCGTTCTGGTCCCATGTTGATTAATCAGGATCAAGTGATCCTGATTTTGTTTTCATCGTTTGCTAGCATTTTGATAGAATTCATTGGTACATACACAAATTGTAAAACATTGCTGATCTGCAAAGAAACAACCATATTTTGGGATAAATCCGACAAATAACAAAACAAATGCAAAAAGGATCAAAATAAGGATAAATTTTAGGATCAACATCAGTATTTGGATCAAGTGTAAAATGCACGTATCTTGTAAAATAGCAAGGCATTTATTTTAAATTTCATGCTGATGATTTTCAATAATTATTAGATAGCCTTACTTTTGCACCTTAAATAAAATATTTTCCTATTAAGGCAAAACACAAAAACTGCAAACATATGACTTTTGTCAAATACACAGTTTAATTTATCATCGTATAACTTTGTATACGCTTGCTTGAATTACACGTGATGTTTTGTCTATATATTAGCATTCTATGTAGCTTTTTCTCATCTTGACGGAAGCGACACTGCTGTGAAGTGATATAAACCAGGTAAATAAATTGAATAATGTTTGGGTTATTTCGAAGACTCAATATTTCATATAATTAAAAAAATAACGATATTTTAAAGACTTGTTTTAAAGTTTAGTTTTAGAAGGACCATTTAAAATGTCTGGAGAGAATATTATTGCTTTGCAATATCCTATAAAGTATTAAGAATAAATAAAATATATAGAAAAACTTTAAGTAGAGTTTACAATTTCGTGATGTGAAAACACTTTTTGTGGTATTTTTTGATATGACATATATTGCGAGATTTTCGTTTACATTACTTAGTTTTATTTAATTATGTTTATACCTATTAAAGGCCTATTATACCCCTGAAATGTTTTTATTTCTATTTTGTAATTGATTATTATCTTTGATATACTTAAATAGTTTCCAAAGAGTTACTCATTAAACAATAACCGGACCTTTTTTCTGTTGCTTTTTGGCAATTAGTACAGTTATAGTGATTTAGTATTTTTATGTAAGTCAAAATGCTACTCTGTTTAGATTTTGCTATTTTTATGACAAATTATTCATATATAGCATTTCTTTCATCTAATGTGCTCCAAAACCATTATTTTGATTAATTCATTTCTTTATTTTAATTATTAGTTTATATAAAACATTAATTTATTGAAAATCAATGTAATAATAATGTATTCGTTTCTGACGAATAATGTGCATTTAAGATAATATCTAAAAAATATATTTTAAACACTGTGATGATATTTTCTCGGTTTTGACGAAGTTCAATGTTTTCCCGTCTTACTAGAGGAGAAAAAATAGTTGAGATTATGGTGCTCAGTGATCATACTCGAAATTTATTTCGTTGAATTTTAATAAATAACTGTTACTTTTTATGTTGATATTGTAGATTCCTTAAAATGGCGGTGTTTATTTGGCTTGTCATACTCCTTTCTTTCCTGTCACTTTCAAATGCACAGCTAGAGAAATATTGCTGGGCCGGCTTTCAAAAACAGGAATGTGTGTAAGTAAAATATAAAGCAGTGGTGTGAACAAAATAAAGTATTAGAATTACCTTTAACGCTCCTTTCCTTAGGTATTTATTTAAAGTACTGTACTTTTGTGCAAACAGTTATAAAATATTTATCATTTCATTTGATATTGAAACCGCCAACTTAATATTTTGAATTACAATAGCTAAAAACGGAATCCGTAAAGAACGCAAGCCCTAAACGACAAATTGAAAATTTTGCAGGCTCGATTTGACTGGACCTGTTCATGGACGGTACTGAAACCTTGTATTTAGGAACATCAGCAGATGTGTTCATACAGCGGCTATCAAGTAAAGTTATAAAGTTACCAATTCAACTGTCTTCATTATACCTGGCCGTAATAATATCTTTTCTATATTTCTAAAGATCATTCCAAAAAATAAACATTTTTCATGATAAAAAGATATTATTCTCTTTTAAGTTATTATTACATCATTATTCTCTCTTCTTAGGGATAACACACTCTTACAAGGGCGAGAGGGACTAATGGTAAGCTACTTTCTCAGCATTCCATTTTCTCGGATTTGCTGCGAAGCCCTAAGTTGTACCCAGGAGACAGGGAGGTGTGAGTTCCAATACGCTGGGTGCCATGATAATAGCACAGCAAATATCCAGACTCGACCAAGACTTTGGGAACTCCAAAACATACCTCCAGTGATGCGGTGTACCGATGTGCAAGGCAAGGGTGCATTTTATAAGTTTTGGACTCAGATTGTGCAGAAAGAAACCCTTTTGTAATTAAGAAACACTCATTAAAAGACGTTTTGATTTTCGGAAAAAATGTTATGAAGTTAACAATAAAATGCATTTAAGATGAATGTGATAATAGATAAAACGCATGAATATTCATTAACTAAAACAAACAATAACCTTATATAAAATTTCACGTTTGCGTAATGTCCGCTCTTTTCTTTTTAGATATGTTTACAATCGAATATTTATTAATAAAAATCATACCGACTTTTTAACAATTTCAATTTGATCGTGTCGGACGACCTCCGAGGTGTAATATTTTTTTCCAATTTTATAAGATCAGCCAGCTGGGTAAAACAATCATTACACCGTTCTTTCTTTATATGTGTACGAAACAATGATATAACACTGGCTGGGGCAACTTCGGGAGATGTTAATGTCAAGGCCGTTGGGTCGGGACGACATTTTGTTTTTGCAGAAACATCCCGAGATGTCCCCCAGCCAGTGTAACCTTGCGTAACTAACGAGTTATATATATTATAACTGTTTTATCGTAATTTCATAATTTTTAACAGAAATCAGCAAAAAATACTGTGTTCAGTGATTTTCCTTTTCTTGTGCCCTTTCTCTTTGTTTCAAATCAAATCCCTTGCAAAAATATATCAATATCAGCTGATAAATGTTGTTTTTTGTGCTACTAGGAATATGTGATACCTCTGTCCTATTCCAAACTTTGTAAAAAAACTACACTGATACATAACAGATGCAAAAAGACTCAACTGTAACATTTAATTCATGACAAAACAGCACTGTTATATATCAATTGTACAGTTTTGAAACCTTTATTTAAAATGAATCCTAACCATGCAATTAAATCCTTTAACTTCGTGTTTTAAAGATTTGTATTGTTCTTTCTAGCCCATTTTATTTCCCTGATATCAGAAACATCCCTTGATGTCTCCCCAGCTAGTGTTTAACCCTCGTATGTAGCTCGTTTCATATATTATAAATATTACGTATCTTTATAATAAAATTCAATAATTGTATGCCAAGATTTGTATGCATTTATTGGAACTTTTTCTCTAAATTACTATACATAAACATATCACTACAAGTACACATGGAATCTGGAAAAAGTGAAAAACAGTGATGGCCTAAACATTTATTTCTTTTTTATGCATACATGTTTGATTTACTCATGTTTTTGTAAATCAAACACACTGAGTGTTATTGTAAAGAAAAACGTCAGTTCCATGATTACAAAGGCCACATATATCAGACCGGTAAGCATCAGCACCAGCAAAAATTATATGTTATTTGGGACAACAACAAAACAATATCAAACTTTAACTAATTTTATTTTATAGTCATACATAGTGGCATATGTAATTTATCTCACTGAGTAATGTTTTAGTTAATCTTTTGCATTTTATGGGCACGACTCCATTAATAAAAAAGGCAAAAGGTTGGGATACCGGGCATACAAAACCCTGTTAGGGCATCCCTAGCAAAACAAACAAATGACACAAAATCAAAACAAACAAATGGAACAAACTGTATAAATTTTTGGAACCGTATGCTCTAGAAAATCATTGATCAAAGCTGTTAAAACAATACTAGTCTTTCAATTCTTCATTCACAAAATAGTCAATTTTCGCAAATGTATATGAGCAACAACACAGCATTGACACTGTTGCGCGAAATTGGTTCTGGGAAGCAGAAACCAGTATCGCCAGTATCACAAAATGTCTATTCGCCCGCCGCCACTAGACTTCGGATGGTGAACGGGAAATCGGTGAACGGGAGATTTCCCGTTTTCCAGTCGAAGGCTCCGCCAATTACATATAATATTGGCTTCGCCAATATCATATTATTATTGGCTCCGGCGAATTGAATACTGAAAAAAATAGTCGTGCCCAGCCATTCTATGATTTACAATACAACACTGCCGTGTAGGTTATTCAACTTTAGCAAATAAAGCAGCATTCTAACAAATATATATACTAGCACTCATAAATCAAATATGACACTATCTGAAACACAATAATTTGGGTAGCAACCACCAAGGTCTCGAGTTCAGTGCCATTTCTCGTGATATGAATTTAGCAAAAACATCCAAACTGCTCCAAATATGTGCTAGCTAAATGTATATACATTTGACAGTGCATTTTCTCAAGATATTAATTTAGCAATAACCAAGATCTCGAGTTCAGTGCCATTTCTCGTGATATGAATTTAGCAAAAACGTTCAAACTGCTTCAAATATGAGCTAGATACATGTATACTATAAGTGTAATCAACGTGATCAACGTGAACTATAGATTATGCATCAACACATCAACTTTTCAAATATACATTTCCTGAATCACCCTATACCATAGGTGTTCGGCGGGGTGATTGCTTCAACCCACAAATGGTAATGTGACTTAGTAAATAAATGGGGTTACCCCATATGGGGCCTGACAAAAAAATCAAAAACAAAAACCGAAAAAAAAGATAATATTGGTATTTAGTTAGTTATTATATTTGAATTTTAGATATTTTCTTAAAAATTAGGTTGACAGAAAAAATGCCTTACCTAAAATTCATAACTAATCCACACGTGTATAGTTGCTTAAAAATCTTGAAAAGTGCTTGTCCCTTGCGGACAGTGAAAATAAAAGTGAAAAGGTGACAACTGACTTATGCAGTGTATGACGGATAAACTCACATTCTCTTTTGCAACCGATAAAGCTGTAAAATGATCAAGTATTTCAATAAACAATTTACATGTTCTGAGTTATGTGAGTACATTATCTAAGATCTTCTTTACAAGGACATATTTGAAATATTGGTCCGCCTAAACAATGTTTATTTAGTCAAGGAGAATAGAAAATACATAAATCAGTCTAAAACAAAGGCTGTGTAAATAAAAAGATACACTTACTTAAGAGAACAATATTTCTGGTAAAACAGGATTTCGCATTTCTAAAATATCAGATACAATCCCAATTTGATTGCCTGATTAACAGAATTCTTTACCACAACAAATTAATATTCTCGATGAAATTAAATTCAGTTCATAAATCATTGGTAACTAGCCACGTTGGGCTTAACTTAACTTATAATTTTATTTAAAAAAAATTAAATTCAAGATTAAGAACACTTATTGAAAATGGATGTTAAATTGAATGCCCATTTATAACTTGTCATTCATAAGTTATTAAATTGACAATTACGTGTATACCTTGTCCTCAATGAGATCAAATTACCCCTTACCAAAAAAAAGGCTCTCTGGTGAACATTGCGACAAGTTTGCCGCAAACATTGCGGTGAGTTTGCGGTAAACTGCTTTCAGCAATTATTTACCATGCAAATGAGGTTTGCGGCAAATTTGCCGCAACTAATGAGGTTAGCGGCAAATTTGCCGCAAACTATAGGTGGCGGTAGCTTCTGTTTGCGGCAAATTTACTGCAAACCTCATTTGCATGGTAAAAGTTTGCAGATGTTCGCCAAAAGTTTGCGGCAAATTTGCAGCAAACTTCATTTGCATAGTAAGTTTGCGGAGGTTCGCCAGAAGCTTTTGGTAACACTGCGGCAAACTTCATTTGCATATTTGCCAGTTTCAGCAAATATGTTCTGGCGATATTTTGGCGAACATTTTGGTAAAGTTCTGGCGAACAATTTTTTTCAAACATTGGAATAATTAAAACTAGCTGAATTATAAGAAAACAAATACATATTGGTTTAACACATTTTTTCAATAGAAAATAAAAGAAATATTACAAACATATCAGTAGAATAAAATGAAATTTGATAAATTTGTAAAATAAAGAAATTAATTCTCCAGTTAAAAAAAGAGATAAATTTTACACACATTTTATTAGCAACTGATTCTATACATATTTGACTTTCATAAATTTCCACTCTTTAGTTATGATGCTATCATGAATTGTTCATATTACTTAATAATCAATTAAAACAAGAGCCTATTGAACCAGGGTGATCCTCCCCCGACTAGGATTTGGACACAGAAAAGTATATCTTTTGAAGTTTCAGGGTTATGTCCCAGACAAAGTTCAAAGTCTGATAATTCCAAAATAGTTGTAAAATCACACTTCGAAGACGCTATGGGCCAGACACATTTTTGCTTCAAGGTCATGCTGTGACCTTGACCTTCAAGGTAATGACCCAAATGTTGCGTGTGACATATCATCTCAATATGGTGATCATTTCAGTGAAATAGTTGTAAAATCCGACTTCAAATAACGAATTTATGGGCTGGACACCATTTTGCTTCAATGTTATGTTGCGACCTTGACCTTCAAGGTATTGACCCAAATGGTGTGTGCAACACATCGTCTCAATATGGTGATCATTTCTGTGAAATAGTTGTAAAATCCGACATCAAACTAGAACTATCGCTGAATGCGATTCATACCCCCACCAATGTCCTTGACAGAAGACAACTTGGAAAGGTGGTTAAGGGAATAACTTAATTAAGTGACACAAAGACATAAAAAGAAATTAACTCTGGTGAAAAAAAGACTAATTGTACAGGTAATAGTAAAAATATCTATTATCAAATCATGTTCGAAACAGTTACAAATAACCTTTCATTTTCCCAATATACTAAACTTTTTATAAGTCAATTTTTGACCTTCAAGTGTGGCCTTGACCTTCAGCTGGCACAAGGGTAAGATGGGTTCTGCACATCGCCCAATTGGAGTGAACATTTGAGTAAAGTTTGAAGAAAATCCTTCCATTAGTATAGAATTTATAGAGCGGACACAACATATTGTCTAGTATTGATTGTATGTAAATTTAAAGACTTAAAAAGGGGCATAACTTTGTCAAAATCCAATACAGAGTTATGAAACTTGACCTGCATATTGTAATTGTGATACCTCATATATCTTTTAAGTTTCAAGCAAATACCTATGCTAGTTTCCGAAATATTCAAGAACATGTTTTAATCTAAAAACATTTTCTAAGTCAATTTTTGACCTTCAAGTCTGACCTTGACCTTTAGTCTGCACAAAGGTGACATAGATTCTTCACATAACCTTGTTTAGGTGAACATTTGAGAAAAGTTTGAAGAAAATTCTTCCATTAGTATAGGATTTATAGAGCGGACACAACATATTGTCTAATATGTGATTGTATGTAAATTTGAAGATTAAAAAGGGGCATAACTTTGTTAAAATGCAATACAGAGTTATGAAACTTGACCAGCATATCTGAATTGTGACACTTCATTTATAAGTTTCAAGCAAATACCTTTCCTAGATTCAGAAATATTCAGATATATGTTAAAATTAAAGAACATTTTCTAAGTCAATTTTTGACCTTCAAGTGTGACCTTGACCTGAAGCCGGCAAAAGAGTGACATGGGTTCTGCACATAACCTTGTTCAGGTGAACATTTGAGCCAAGTTTGAAGAAAATCTTTCCATAAGTGTAGGACTTACAGAGCGGACACGACATACTGTGTAATATTTGATTGTTTGATATTTGACCTTCAATTGTGACCTTGACCTTGAGCTGACACAAGAGCAACATGGGTTCTGCACATCCCATTGTTGAAATGAACATTTGAGCCAAGTTTGAAGAAAATCTTTCAATTAGTGTAGGACTTACAGAGCGGACTTGACATATTGTGTAATATTTGATTGTTTGATATTTGACCTTCAATTGTGGCCTTGACCTTAAAATGACACATGGGCAACATGAGTTCTGCACATCCCCTTGTTGAGGTGAACATTTTAGCCAAGTTTGAAGAAAATCTTTCAATTATTATCAGCTAAGTCAATTTTTGACCTTCAAGTGTGACCTTGACCTGAAGCCGGCAAAAGAGTGACATGGGTTCTGCACATAACCTTGTTGAGGTGAACATTTGAGCCAAGTTTGAAGAAAATCTTTCAATTATTGTAGGACTTACAGAGCGGACACGACATACTGTGTAATATTTGATTGTTTGATATTTGACCTTCAATTGTGACCTTGACCTTGAGCTGACACATGGGCAATATGGGTTCTGCACATCCCCTTGCTGAGGTGAACATTTGAGCCAAGTTTGAAGAAAATCCTTCAAGTGGTATAGGAGTTATAGAGCGGACACGAAAATGGAGACGGACGGACCGACCGACCGACTGACCGACCGACCGACGCGACAAAGCGAATCCATTATAGCCCCCCCCCACATTTTGTGGTGGGGGTATAATAACCAAGATATTGGCCGGACACAATTTTTGTTCAAGGTCATGGTGTGACCTTGAACTTCAAGGTAGCGACCCAAATGTTGCGGGCGACACGTCGTCTCAATATGGTGATCATTTCTGTGAAATAGTTTTAAAATCCAACTTGAAATAACAAAGTTATGGGCTGGACACGAATTCGGGTTCGTATGTACGTACAGACAGACGGACAGACAACCCGATGACTATATGCTCCCCCGAAATTTTTGGGGAGCATAAAAACAATGTTTGACAATAGCTATTATTCAGCACATGTTGCAGTATTTCTTAGCACCAAAAATGGGAAATATAATATTGTTGTAAAAGCTAAAAATCAGAAAAGTTACAGTTTGAAATCTTCTATCTGGACAAAAAGTTTCATTCAAACATGAACTGGCATGGAATAACATACATACTTCGACATCCACTTAGACAAATCACTATTAATAACAATAAATACTAACAATAGCGTTATGTGTTATGCAAAAACAAACTAGACCAATAATGGCTTTCAAAATTGTAAAAATGAATCTCAAAAATATATTTTGGTCTTATACAAACAACATATTTCATGGACATAATACCTTCAGATTTAAACTCATGCCATATAACATTATGATTGTGAGCAAAACAATATCTGACACAAACAATTATGGCTTTCAAAATTGTTAAAATTAATCACAACAATATATTTGGTCTTATACAAACAACTAATTTCATAGACATAATTTTTTTGTTTGTTTGTTTTGGGTTTTTACGTCACATCGACACAGTATAGGTCATATCGTGACGTTCAGGTGCCCTTCCTTGCATTATTTCAGGCACGAACGGGTATCCGAGTAGAACCACCGACGTTCAGTTAAGCTAGCTGGATAGCTTCCTCACATGAAAGAATCCAAAGTCCCTGTCGGGATTCCAACCCACAGTGGTGAGGGGCAAGTGGTTTGAAGTCAATGACCTTAATCACTCGGCCACGGACGCCCCTCATAGACATAATAACTAAAGATTTAAACTAAATGTCTTTAGTCATGTCATATAACGATTGCAAGCAAAACAAAAACAGACTAGAGCAATAATGGCTTTTAAAATTGTAAAAATGAATCTTAACAATATTTTTGGGTCTTATACAAATATAGACATAATTATTAAAGATTAAAACTAAATGTCTTTAGTCATGTCATATAACGATTGCAAGCAAAAAAAACTGACTAGAACAATAATGGCTTTCAAATGTGTAAAAATGAATCTTAACAATATATTTGGGTCTTATACAAACATAAACATAATAACTGAAGAATAAACTAAATGTCTTTAGTCATGTCATATAACAATTGCAAGCAAAACAAAAACTGACTAGACAATATTGTAAGTTTTGCATGAAATTGGCTTGGCAATTTATGAGATGTTGTTTAAAGATCAAGTTTACGGAGGAATGATAGACAAAAGCTCACAATGTCACTTTGTAAGCTAAAAACGCACTACTTTACTCTTTCACTCTTCCAAGTTTCAGTGCCCTGGCCATTGTGTGTATTTTGGTGTTGACTGCTTTGGTGACTAAGCTACTCTCCATATTTAGTTTATTGATGCAGTACACTGAAAAAAAGAAGGTTTATTTTTCATTTACATGTTACCATGTTTATACTGAATAAAACTAGAACTATCACTGAAGGTGAATGATACCCCAAAACCCCACCTTGAAATAAAGTGGCAGTAATCTATTAGTAAAGCCCACTACAAATGAAGAAAATAAACACCAAAGGCAATTATCATTCATTGGTCAATACACTGGTGCTGGCTTGATTTTGATCTGTTGGGATGAACATGTATTTGCATTGCAAAACCTAGATTTATTTACAAATGACAAGTGGCTCATATATTATAAGTTTATCTAACTTAGTTAAGAAATCAAGGTATTATGTTAAAAACACACCAAAATAACAAACAAAGGTTTCAGTGATCACATGTGTCGCCTCATGATGGCCAATTTCATGTTGGGACAAGTTTTGTGACAGTAGGACAGACAGACAGACAGTGCACAACTAGACTTGGTACTGATCATTCCTTTAAAGTTTGGATGAAATTGCACCAGTAGTTTTTGAGGAGTAGTCCGGACAAGTTTTGTGACGGACGGACAGACAGACAGACGACGGAGAAATGATCCCTATATGTCGACCACTACTCCGTAGAGGCGACACAAAAATGATGCATGCTGTGAACATGACAGCCAGGTCAGAGCTCAAAGTTAAAACCAGGGTCATTCAAATAACCATTAGGATTTTCTTCTAAATGCCACTGTTTGAAAGAACAATGTTGACTAACAGTCTTACTTGTATGCAAAACTCACTTTTTCAATTATACATCAATAACAGTGGTTAAAATATACACAGATACTTTTCTGACAAATTCTAAATCATTACTGACATGATAACTGAGAAAAACTAGAAATGTGTCAATAGGACACGGATGCCCCACAAGCCACTGTTCTGTCAATCTTATGACTCTAGGTCAAATAGTTTTTGGACTACATGTGCCACAAGTTGAAAACTAAAAATCAACAAAGGGCCATAATTCTGTTAAATTTGGTTGCAGCAAAAATTCCTTTATTACCATCTACACATTAAGTTTGTTAATCCCTGGAAGTTAAAGCAAAATCTGCCATCCTGGTTAAAGAGGAGTTGCGTTCACAAAATTTCTACATAGTATATAGTGAAAAAAATCAACAAAGGGCCATAATTTCTGTTAAATTTGGTTGCAGCAAATATTCCTTCCTTTACTACCATCTACACATTAAGGTTGTTCATCTCTGGAAGTTTAAGCAAAATCTGCCATCCGGTTTAAGAGGAGTTGCTTTCACAAAATTTCTACATAGTATATAGTAAAAAATCAACAAAGGGCCATAATTCTGTTAAATTTGGTCGCAGCGAAAATTCTTTCCTTAACTACCATCTACACATTAAGGTTGTTCATCCCTGTAAGTTTAAGCAAAATCTGCCGTCCGGTTTAAGAGGAGTTGCGTTCACAAGATTTTGGGACGAACTGACAAGTGCAACGTTATATGCTCCCACATTGTGGGGGCATAAAAATAATCTTATTTTACTTACATGTTAAACTGTCAAATCCTCTTTTGTGCCAGGCAGTATCTACTGAATTGGACATACCACTGCTGGTTTTACAGGGAAATTTCGGGGAAAGTCTTAATCTGCTGTGAGGTTTTTCAAGATGTGGACCACTTCTGATTTGTTTTCAACCTTTGACTGTCTGTGAGAACTGTAATTGTAAAAATATTTCAAAAATATTTTCTGTAATTTAAAATTCATCTTTAAACGTAATATTGACAAATATTGAGAAACTACACCAATGAATTGACAATAACTTATTTATAATTAATGTAACACAATGTTCATACTAGAATTAGTTTTGTTAATTATTAACAGTGTTTCTGACAGAGCGCGTTTTTCGCGCACTATTTTCAGCCATGACGCAATGAAATTTAGTTAGTGCGTATTTTGTGACGCAAGAATTTCACCGTCGCTGATTTCAACACAAGTCAGATATACAGACTATAAACCGTCAATTCAGTATAAAAATGTACGGAATGTTTACCGTGGGCTCCACTATAATTTTAATGAGAAATGAAATTTACCGGGTCCGTGGTCCGGCATTTAGCCAATTTCAACTAGTTAATAAACGCTTGCATTTATACAAATGTACGATACTGCATATATTGAAAGCGCCCAGACAAAATTATTTATTTTGTTGTCGTCATATTCTGCGAACGAATAACTGTCTGCTGGAAAATGCAGTCTGCATATATGTTAGTGTTCATCTGTGCTGTTCTACAGAAATTAGAAACTTCGAAGGGAGCGATAGCGACAGGAGAATGTTTCTAATTTCTGTAAAACAGCTAAGGATGAACACTAACATATTTAGTGTCAAGCTTTATTTGGCCCTTGATTACGTCACTAGGCGGTACTATGAAGCACTATGAAAAATAGAAGGCGACTATGAACAAATTTCAATATAGTACCGACTTTCTTTCTTCTATGAAAATTAACACACATAATTTTTAAGAAATACAGCGTTATTATTGGATGACAAATAATCCAAAATAGCAGAGATTGACCAATTTCTTCACGAAAAATATACAAAATATTGTAAATAAAACTTATAAAGTGTTACCTGTTTTTTTTTTTACATTTTTGTTAAATTTATTGGCATGACCCTTATGAATTTGAAATGACCCCTAAAATATCATACAGGGGGTCATAAAAGACCCTCAGAAAATCAGAGCTGGCAGAAACACTGTTATTAATGCTGATTGCACGACTTTTTCCTGACCAATTTTAGTAATCACTTTTATGAAATAATTCGGACTGCATATCGATTATTCATCACATGAAGACACATCAAATTGTTTCTATTGAAGACGACCCCAAATAGCATTACAAAATTATCACAGTATTATCATTTAATTGCTACACCATGATTATAAATATATATAAAAACTAGAAATGTGTCATCATGCCACGGATGCCCCCGCATGCAGCCAAAATTTCAGATGGTGCATTAATTTTTTTTTATTTTAAGTTCAAAGCCCTTAAAACTTTTCAATGTTAACACAAACCATTTTCATACACTGTTTAAGGCACTGAAATTATTCAGTCTTAACCTTTTAAAAATAGCATATTGCATATTTGTAGCCAAAATAATGGCTAAAAGTATGAGTGCTGAAACTGAAAGTTCAAAATTTTTCCTACATTCAGGAAAGATAAGTTTGTCTAAAATCATTGAACCACAACCAAATTCAAACTTAAACTGCTTATTCCTAAGATGTATCTATATTATTTTCAAAGTGAAAGGGACATAACTCTGCCAAAAAATCATCAAACCATGACCAAATTCCAACTTGACCTGCCAATTCCTTTGACATATCTATATGTAAAATTTAAGTTGAATATGTAACACTGTTGGGTAGATAATGAACAGAAACTGTAAATTTCATATTATTTTCAAAGTGAAAGGGGCATTAGTCTGCCAAAAATCATTGAACCATGACCAAATTTGAACTTGACCTGGGCATTCCAAAAACATATCCATATGTCAAATTTGGGTTAAATGTGTTGAACCATTGGGGAGATAATGAACGGAAACTGAAAATTTCATATTATTTTCAAAGTAAAAGGGGCATACTCTGCCAAAAATCATCAAACCATGACCAAATTCGAACTTGACCTGTATTTTCTCATGACATATCCATATGTCAAGTTTGAGTTGAATGTGTTGTACCGTTGGGGAGAATTTGAAAGGAAACTGAAAATTTCATTTTATTTTCAAAGTAAAAGGGGCATAACTCTGCCAAAAATCATCGAACCATGACCAAATTTGAACTTGACTTGTATTTTCTCATGACATATCCATATGTCAAGTTTGAGTTGAATGTGTTGTACCGTTGGGGAGATAATGAACGGAAACTGAAAATTTCATATTATTTTCAAAGTAAAAGGGGCATAACTCTGCCAAAAATCATCGAACCATGACCAAATTCGAACTTGACCTGTATTTTTTTCATGACATATCCATATGTCAAGTTTAAGTTGAATGTGTTGTACCGTTGGGGAGATAATGAACGGAAACTGATATTTCATATTATTTTCAAAGTAAAAGGGGCATAACTGTGCCAAAAATCATCGAACCATGACCAAATTCGAACTTGACCTGTATTTTCTCATGATATATCCATATGTCAAATTTGAGTTGAATGTGTGCAACCGTTCTTAAGATAATGAACGGAAACTGATGATGACGGAATGACAGAATGACGGAAGGACGGAAGGACGGAAAGGACGGAAGGACGGAAGGATGGAAGGACGGAAGGACGGAATGACGGAACAGGGTAACACTATATGCCCCGGCCATTACATGGCGGGGGCATAAAAACTCATAGATTTCAACTTACAGTTTAATAGCAATTTTTGTTTGATGTATTGTTGAGGATTGTTCATCACAATTGTATAAATCTGACCATTCACTGTCATTTGTAACTGTAGCATCTGACTGAAGAATAGACCTTGAATAAAAAAAAAAATACATATGTACAAACAGTATATGGAGAGATATTCATATATTGAAGCAACTGACATAACACAAATAGTTCAACAACACCAGTCAGTTTTGCATAGTCCTTTACTTTCGTAAATAAACAAAATACAGAAAACAAACTACCAGTACTCACTTTAGTGCTGGCGAGGCATCTGGCAAAGGACATCCTCCAAGATCTTGTCAATAAGATCTTCCATGATGTTGTGTTCTGATACCATTGATTCTTCATGATGCACATCCCTTAAAAAGAATGCATGTATTTAATAAGAATTTTAGTCTTAAACCAATGAAGGTAAAATATGATAAACAAGATCAACAAGGAAAGGCGACGTTCAATGAACGCAACCCCCATATGACCCAGCAACAAGTACCAATGGCAAGGAGCCCAGGCGGACCCAGTTTGTCATGTAGAAATAAATACTTTTTTTAAAAAACAATTACACATTCATGTTATTTTGAAAAAAGAAATATGTACATGAATATAGAGTAACATGCAAAAACAACAAAGCCATTGTTTAAAAATTCTTTTCTCATATATATATGGATTGTATAATATTCTTTGGTTCCCTAAACCACGAGTATACCAGCAATATAGGATTATACCATGATAAGCTGCATAGACATAATAATTACAAAATAATTTTTCAAATTCTTCCAATTCAATTACATGTTATTTCGAAAATATCATTGTAAATGTGTCTTACTCAATTTCCTTGATCTTTCGCAGCAGATTCTGTCGACATAGACAGATAGAAGCCACTGTCTCAATGATATTTCCAACACGTCTCTCCATTTCTTTTCATGTTTTTATTTCCAATTGTTGGTATATTGAGTGTTGACAACAAATTGTTGACCCTCCCCTCACCGGCCCACCTACACTATCAATCATTGCTGTAAGAAAATGAAAAGAAACAAATTATTTCATTTAAGTATACAAATATTTTGTCAAAAAAAACTTCACATGGATTGTAATTTACATAACCGTGATAATAACACATTGCATAAATTTATATAGAGCTATTTTTAGCTGCCTCATGTACATTGTATGTTGAATATTACTGTGACTGTGTGTATTGGCAGCCTAGTGTAAACTGTGTCTTTTATATAATGTACATGTAGGATTCTGTAATGTCTTAATAAAAATTGCATTGTTGCAAGATTTAATTTAGCAACGTTTTATCATTTGTTTTTCAAATTTCTCAGTGACTTTGGGGAAATTAAAACAGTTCAGAGGGAAGTTTATAAAAAAACTTCACAATAGGAAGTGGCTAGCTGTACAGGCCCGTACGGCTAGCCAAAAGCTCTAGCCGTACGTGAGTCATGTACGACTAGCCAGGACACACTGTATTGGCTAGCCGTACGGCACTTTTCAAAATTATATGGAGTACGTGAGTCACGACTCACGTACGGCTAGAACTTTTGGCTAGCCGTACAGGCCCGTACGGCTAGCCACTTCCCTCACAATAAGGAGTAGTGTTTTACAGCTCAACACAAACAAGATACATGTATTCTGTATAATAAATTAATTATTTATAAATCTGAAGCATAAATTTGGTCCGCATGATTTTACATGTTTGACATCATTGGAAGACAAGTAGATAAACACTGATAAATGTATATTCATTTTGGTTAGCTTAAGGTCTTCAGCGTACCCGTTTATATACTATGACATGACATGAACGCTGAAGATAACCCCGTAGGGAAAGTCCACCAATAATCGTGCCAGGAATCTGACACGCTCGTATTTATTCATCGAACATGCCATGAAGTAAAGTGAAGCATACCTTGATAAAACTATATATAATCTGTTGATAATCTGTTGTTAATCTAAAGTATGATGCAATACATTAATCGCTTACCTGGTCCTAATTTTGTGTTGACAACGAAACATGGCATTCCAACTTTCCCAGGTCTTCAATCTACTACTACTAGAGTCTGTGTTTTTCCATAGGGAACACAATTCACATGACCGCATAATTTCTGTGTTTCGACATTTCACATACAAATATCCAGACACACCCTGTTTAAATTCACCTAACATGTTGTCAAAAGTTAATGGTAGCCTACTGGTCCAAGTCTACATTTTTTACAAAATCTTAGGGTTGACCGTAACACGCCAAACTCAAGTCTCAACGATTCTTCTTCCCTTTTTCCAACCCTCATTATCAACCGATTTAGGAAGAGTTGATGTTTTGTAGAGCTGGTTTGGTTGACCCGTAATACTGGTTACCTGCACTATAGTTATTAGTCCAATATATTAGACGTTACAGGCTTGTTATAGTTTTTGTCGGTCAAGCCTGACGTCTAATAGTTATTGCTCAAAAACGCATAGCATCATAAAAAATTCAAAAAATGTCTATTGTCCTGCCTTTCAAGCTTTATTCAAAAGCTTATCATATTTTCTTTCAATTTCATGCTCAATCATACACAAAAACTGTCAAACGATGAACTTATCAATTTAAAATCAAATATAAACATCAATCTATTTTGTCTATCAGCCATACTGGTTAAGCAAGGTGCTTTACAGATTGATTCCAAATTTTTGAACGGAAAAATATATTCGAACACACTGACGGTGCATGGGCAATTATTTCGTTAAAAAAATATTCCGTTAGATTGTTCTGACTCAGTTAAACGCTTGCATTTGAATTAGCCAATCAGATTTCGCGCACTTTACGGCCGCCATTTGTTTATCGGCTGTAAAAGGAATTGAAATACATGAGAGGATTTAATCATGATTTTTCGGATGTGACAGTTTAATTATTTTGACAAAAGGTATTTATTTTTTAGTTTTGTTCATAAATAGGTCAAAAAATATGTAAATACACGCTGTCTTCATTGTTTTTCGTTCCGCCCGATTTTCTGGCGGAACATGCTATGGGTTTTTGAGCAATTTCGATATGACGTTGCTTTGCCCAGAAGCAAAAATATCTCAAAGCGACGTCATATTTATAGGACTATATAGTTATGTTCTATAATTAAGTCGCAATACTTGGGTTTTTCTGCATCTTTTTACACTTTTTTGAATCGACCGAGCGTATCACGCCTGTAAGACGCCATGTTAGATATCTACGGAAATTACGTCATTTTCTTGGGGAATACTACCACGTGACCGGGGATATCCGCTATTATTAGAATTCCGACTTTATACGTAAACAAACGAAGTTCGTTACGATAAATCGCGAGATATGGCGGTAATTGTCGAAGATTGCCGATTTCATTATGGGTCTTCTACCTTATAATTTTTTAACTGTTATTGTGAACTACACTACCCTCCATGATACATATGATGTTTCAATTTGATAATTCTTAGGCAAAAAATAAAAATATGTTTGTTTCCACTTCCCGACCCATTATTAAAAATAGGGTTGGGTAGGTAGGTAGGTAGGTTATATATAGGTAGGTACATGAAGGACTTTTTTTTATATGTGCATAATAATATAATTCCTTGGCAAAATAGTTATTTACTGAACAAAGTTGATTAACTTTCAGAACTGATGTGTTTGTGGCGATTATCTGGCAAACTTGTTTTTATAGAAAAGTTTCTGGTGAACTTTCAGTGAATATTTTTTTTCATAGAAAGATTCTGGCAATCTCTGGCAAATTAGTTTTCCACTGAAAGTTTCTGGCAAACTTTTGGCGAACTACTTAATATTCTGGTGAATTTGCCGCAAAGTCGCCAAATGTTTGCTACAGAGTTGCCACTAGTGGCGATATCTGGCAAACTCTTGACACAGTGTTTCGGCGAACTAAAAGGTTTGCAGCGAATTTGCGGCAAAGTTGCGGCGAGTTTACGGCAAACCTTTCCTTTTGGTACGGGACGATACAGAAATCATGCAATGGTGACAGTATGATACATCAACGAACATTAAGGATGATCTTAATTGGACGGTCATTCTTTCCTTGCAGTGACAGGCATTATCTTTTATTTGTCGTTCACATTGTTTGGATAAAAGTGTAAATTACTGTATAATACGCAATTTGGTTCAGTATTACTCACATAGTTAAAGTATCAATTTAATCTCATTTACAGAAAGCATAGAGGTCACAAAGTATGCCATGTGTCTTTGTTTCTTTTAAATGTGTTAATATATTTTGATACTTTTTTCTTTTGATGGAAGATTTCATTCACTTTTAGACACTTACTTGTTATAAACTTATTTTAAATCAGTCGTCTAAAATCTATGGGAAAGTGAAGAATACAAGTATACTAAAGTGAGGTTATGTATATTTACCGGCATTATGTTTTCAAACCAGTTTTGTAAATAATGAAACTAAGATCAAGAAGGAAAGGTAGCATTCAATGAACGCATCCCCCAATGCAACTCAGTAAAACCAGACCAACCAGCAAGGAGCCCAACAGGCATTGTTAATATGCACATGAACTAAATGAGTAAACGAAATCTCAGTGGCTGGTTGTTAATTTCACTGACATTGAGTGAGTTGCCCTCGATACGGGGCTTTGCTAACGAAACACCATTGGTTCTACTAAAGTACTATCTGACCTACCTTATCTCTTATCTAGTGAAGACGGAAAGTTGTTTGATCATGTCAGTGTCTCTGTGTGTTAAACTCCAGCAAAGCTTATTTTTATATAAACCATTTTGATTAATCTCAAGAGTCTGTTATCAAATATCGAGTAATAATGAGAAAAGTACGTAGAAAAGTTTTTTACGTTAGGTAATATATTTGATAACAAAATCAACAACTGATCAGTGAAATTTTGAGTCACATTGATTATTGTTGTAAACTCAGTCACATGTGTTCCTTGCAAAATTGAGTCGATCTAACTACGAAGGGTCCATTTAGGTTTTTTTGACACAAAGGAACTGGACTATATTATCGACAATACTTTTGTGCACAATTTCATGTAGATCTGAAAAATAACTTGTGTGCGAAATTCCAAATAATTCCCTCACTCCGTCTTATCACAATCTTTATTTTCATTGTGACATATAACCAAAATATGAAATGTTGCTGCAGCGCTTTTCTAGGATTTAAAAAAAAAGACGTGAAAAAATTTGATTTTCATATAACGCGGAGCATACTTTTTTACTTGTTTTTTGCTTATCTTCCCTTTAAAATTCAACACTTGATCAATGCAAAGATTTCAAACTTATGTTTTTTTTTCCATTTCACGTCAGTGGAAGGAACTCCTTAAACGTATATAACCCTTATCAGTATGATACTGTAGCCGCCGACGTCCTTCTCATCCGTATCATTGTTAGCATCACAACATCTATGTATAATTGTCACTCGTGCATCATTATAATAATTATTATTATCAGGAACTATTAATCTTTTTAATTCGTTTAATCTTGTGATGTTTGTCCCTTCTCATATCTTTAATTACGAATAATGTAAACGAATAAGACAGGCATAATTAAACGATTATACAATGATGAATTTTCTTACCCAATTATTAGTTAAAAGGTAAATTCTCAACTAGATCTTATTAAATTAAGAGTGACAATTCAACCTTGAACTGGTCCTTTAAAGAAATTGATATAAAATTTCCAGTCGGAGATATATGAAGTGTAGCATCTTAACATTTATCTTAAGAAGTTAACTGTATATCAGTTTGATAACAACAGACATTGACAGATGCACCTGACTTTAACCTTTGCATTGATCAAGTAATAGCGTATAAATTATGTTTTACTTATAAGTGAAGAGATGCTTTATTGCCAATCTATGTGTATTGGCTGCTAGATTGTATATTATCCATTCTTAAAGGGAGACACGGGCAAAACTTTTCATTTCTTAGTTTTGAATTTTTCATTCATTATTCTGTACATGCCCTCAAAATGAATATATTAGACAGTCAATGGAATAAAACCTTTTTCCATATAAAGAATAAAATGGTGGTTTCCTAACTTGACCCGCGTGGGTCAGGTTAGAGCGCTATGATTTCGCAATATTTGTCAAAGTGAACTCAGGAGACGTTAAAGAACATTTCAAATGAATGACATAGACTTGCTTGTTTCAATCATACAATATCCAAAATATCTGTTATTGTAACTGTTCGACATGTTCCATGAGATGAAGGTCTATCCCAATAACTTGTGAGCAAAATTTCAAATCATTAGCTCACTCCAGAATAATTATTATGATTGTGAAAAAAGATCGAAAATTGAAAAGTGTTTCAATGCTCAAGCTGATCTTTATATGGAATTCAAATTCAATAATAATGTTTTTTAAGGCTTTTAGCCATTATTGGAGTTCCTTTAAGTGTGTATATGGCAATAACCAGTTTTAGTTCAGTTCCATCAGTTCAAACATTGAAACAACTTTTATTTAAATATTTAAATACAATGTATAAAACAGGAGTTTAAGTGACATTATCCAATATTTCTACATTTTTATAAATCATTTCCAAGTTTTTGTCGGTTTTTATAGGTTACAATGCATTGTGAAAGAATGTTGCGTATAAATAACAATGAGTAGAAGAAACAGTGTAGTAAATAAGAAAAAATATCGTTCAACCATTCAAATGGTGCTGACACCGACATTCCGCTCATACCACGAACTATTTGAACTATTTATCGTGCATTATTTTTCAAGATTAGCATAGTAATATACTATTATATATACTGTATCAAAAAGATGTTTGTTTTGTTTGGGCTATTATACAATTGGTTTTTGTTCATGACAGTGCCTTTCTAATAAGATAATTTGATTAAAGTATTATTATTCGGAAATGCAAATGCTTAAAACGCATGTATTATAAATAAACTTACATGTGATTTATTTTTAAGCTATCTCATTTACCTCTAATTTATCCTAGCATATCAGGATTACGGTTTCAACGTATAACCAGTTATATGCAAGTCATCTAATAAATAACGCAGTGTTTGATATAAAAAAGATATTTGAACAGTTGTCGGGTTTGTTTGTGTTATCGGAACATGTTTTTTCAGTGGTTGTTGTAATCACACATTTGTCTTGAAGTCTTTTTTATTTAGAAATTATTTAAAACGTATTTTTCTTTTTAAATGTTTTTTTTCTGGGTCATGCATGTCTGTATTGACAATATATAAACACGTCTTCTTCATGTAATCTCAGAAAAAGTTCACGTTGCAATAAAAAGAATCTCAAGGACACAGCGATCGGAAGTAACACTAGCTTTTAAGCGCAAAACAGGATATACTTTGAATTGTTACGACTCACAACACGGATACAATGATTTCATTTTGGTACTATTACATACGATTTGTTACTTTAAGAGAGAACAAGAATA